GCCCAGCCTTCCCCCAGCAGACCGGGGGCCGCCTGCCCGCCGAGCCCCTGGCACCACACCCTGTAATTTGATAATAATTATAATAATAATAATTACGGCGTGCGTGGGCTGGAAGTGCAGGAACAATAACCCGGGTAACGCCTTGCTGCGTGGTGGCAGGAGCAGCATGGTGGCACATGCCCTGTCCTGGTGCCGTGCTGGCCCTGGAACCCCCTGGCACCCCATGTGGGAGCCCCTGCCTGGCATGTGAGAGGACACGGCCTGGGCACGTGCCCTGCATGGATTTTTAGGCAGTTGTGTCCATGCCCCAGCGCTGTGGTCCTTGGCCAGGCTGGCCATGTCCCCAGGCCTTCCCCCTGAACAGGACACCCTGCCAGAGCCAGAGCTTGGGCAGCCCCCATTCCTGGCACACAGAGAGCCCCCCAAAAGTCCTGCTGCCCCCCCAGTCGCAGACCCCCCCAGGCCCTGCAGCACCCTGCACTGCTGACACGGCTGCTCCTGCTGCACACGGGGAGCAGAGCTCTGCCCCCTCCCTCAGCAGTTACATAAAAGGATTAAAATTTAACATGAACTTCAAAAGGGGAAGAACGGGGTGGTCGAAGGCGGCTGGCCCAGGGCCGGGTGCAGAGCAGAGGCACCCTGGGACATGTCCCAGCTCTGCTGAGAAGCAGCACTGCAGCACATGGAGACCTGCTCCATCCAGCCCAGCCCATGGGGCCAGAGCGAAGTGCCCGGGCACCACGGGCACAACAGACACCCCACGGGCACCACAGACACCCTGTGAGCCCACGCTGGGTTAACTGGGCTGGGGTCTGCCCGGGTCATGACGATGCACGATTCTCATGGGGGTCTGGCCTTGCCCCACACCTTCACCTCCCACTGGCAACCAGGTGGCCCTTAATAACCCACTACCCAAAGGCACAGCATCACCCACCCATCCCACTGCCTGCTGCCACCCTGCCTGTCCCATGCCAGCAGTGCCCAGGCAGCCCCTCTCCTCCTGCCCGGTGCCTCACGCTTCCTTTCACACACCAGTGGGTGGGAACGTGCTGGAGAGGAGCCCTGTGCTGGGGGAGCGAGACCCCCCGGTTCGGGGGCAGTTGATGCACCCCGGCCCCACACCATGCCCAGACCCCGCGTGGCCGCGCAGCGCCCGCGCTCCCGTCGGTGCAGCAGCGGGAGCGGGGCCGTGCTGGCAGCAGAACGAGCCAGGGCTGGGAAAACACCATCTCCCGCCCCCGCAGCCGCCCACGGCCCCGCACCCGCTCCGCCGCCTCCGCAGCGCCGGGGCTCGGGAGGAGGGGGCGGCAGGCGCGGGGCTGGGGCTGCGCTGCGCCCACCGGGGCCGCCCACCCGCGGGTAGGGCAGGGGACGGGGCAGGGGGGAGCGGGGCTCAGCCCCCGGTGCAAGAGCCGTCCTGGCACAGGGTCCTGCCGCAGGAGCATGGCTGGGATGGGGGGCTGGGATGGGGGGCTGGGGGACCGGGCTGGGGGCCGGGATGGGGGACCGGGGGCTGCCCCGCACCCAGCCCTCCCCGGGCACCTGCGAGCAGAGAGACTGGGGAAGCCTTTGGCTCGTTCATTTTTAATCTTGGCTGAGAGCAGGAGGGACACGGGCACAAAGCTCGGGAATGCTGCGGGATGGGACCGGCTGCGGGACCCCAGACAGCCCTGCCCAGGAAGGTCCCAGGCAGCCCAGCTGATGCCACAGGGCTCTTTGGTCATGCTTGTCCCCCTGGGATGGAGATTCCTGGGAAAGGAGAGCAACCCCTGGGCATCCCTCCTGTTCCTGTCTCCTCATGCCCTACCATAGCACAGCCTCCCTCGCTGGGCGAGCCCCTCTCCCAGTGCCAGTGCCCCCTTCCCAGTGCCAGTGCCTTCCTCCCAGTGCCTGCAGCACAGGGGCAGGATCCGTGCGTGAGCAGAAACTGTGGGCACGTGGAGATGTGCAGAGAACAGAGCGGGGTGGGAGGAGGAAGAGGGCGCGTGAAGTCAGAGCTTCCCCAATGCTGCTCCCCATCCCTGGCCTGGTCCCAGGGATCCCATCCCACCGGGCAGCCGGGGGCAGATCCCCGGTGCCCACCCCGCTACGAGGAGGTGAAGGAGGACACACGGGTGCCAGGCACAGGCCCGGGGGGGCCCGGCGGGGGCAGCGGGAGGCACCGGCCGATCTTGCGCAGGGTCCGGCCCAGGTCGGCGCGGAAGCGCCGGATGGAGAAGCAGTAGACGAGGGGGTCCAGGCAGCTGTTGAGGCTGAGCAGGGCCACGCTCAGCGCGTGCAGCACGTCCAGGGCGTCGGGGGGCCCGCAGGGCGGCGCGGGGGGCCGGCTGCCCACCCAGGGGGCCAGCGTCAGGTGGTAGGGGGCCACGCAGACCACGAAGACCAGCAGCATCCCCAGCACCATGGCGCGCGCCTGCTGCCGGTGGGAGCCCGGCGAGGCGGCGGCGGCGGCGGGCGCCGAGAGCGCGCGGGCGATGGAGGCGTAGGTGCCCAGCACCACCAGGAAGGCGGCGGCGAAGAAGGCCACCATGGCGTAGGCGTAGGCGCGGTGCCGCCCGTGCTGCTCGAAGCAGGCGGTGGCCCCGGCGCGGGCGGGGAAGGTCTGGCGGGCGGCCAGGGTGGGCACGGCGCAGCCCAGCCCCAGCAGCCAGGCCAGGGCGCAGGCCAGCGCGGCGCCGCGGGGCCCCGTGAGCGGCAGCGCCCGCCGCGCCGCCCGCACCGCGCAGAACCGGTTGAAGCTGATGAGCGCCATGAAGGTGACGGCGCTGTAGGTGGCCAGGTAATAGGCGGCCCCCGCCAGGCGACAGGCGGCCTCCGACAGCAGCCAGTCCCCCCCGGACAGGTAGTAGTGGATCCAGAGGGGCAGCGTGAGGTTGAAGAGGATGTCGGCCAGCGTGAGGTTGATGAGGTAGATGCGGATGGCCTTCCTCACCCTGCCGCTCTGCAGGAAGACCAGCAAGGCCACCAGGTTGCCCGGCAGCCCCACGCACAGCACCAGGCAGTAGACGACGGGCACCAGCACGAACTGCACCGGGTCGCTGGCCAGGCACTCGCCGGAGTGTCCCGTCGGCAGCGGCCCCAGTGCCGAGCTGTTCATCCCGGGCTCCTGCAAAGGCAGGGAACAGTCAGTGGCACAGCCCTCGGGGACAGGGAAGGGGTGTTGACCCACACAGGACACCTCTCTGGCACCTGCAGCACTGCTGGGCGACAGAGGCAGAGCCCCCACGGGGATGCCACTGTGTGCTGGAGGGGCTCAGACCTCACAGGAGATGAGGAGACTCCAGCTATGTCCCCCCACGCCACGAGGGAGCCCAGAGGTTGCCATCAGCCACCCAGCCAGGGCTCCCCGGGGAGCGGCAGGCGCAGCTGCACCGCGGCTGAGGGATGGAGTCACAGCCAGAGGCACCCGGGGGTGCTGTGCTGGCTCCAGCCGGCAGCTGTGGGGCTTAACACCTCCCACACAGCACGTGCCTGTAGGGCCACCCACCCCAGCCCTCTCCCAGCACCCCAAATCCCCCCGGGAAGTCACCCACTGGCTCAGGGTGCGCCAGAGTGGAGAGACCCAGGCACGGACAGGAGGTAGGAGCACGGGGCCAGCAGCCCCCCCGTGCCCCCCAGCCCTGCACGGGTGGGTTTGCCTCCGGTTCTAGCCATGGGAAACCACGTTGTGCCGCAGTGGCTGTATCCAGGGCTGCAGCTATTTCACCTCCCATCACCGCCTGCCCACACCTCGCCGACAGCACTGAGTCACCAGCCGGTGTTTTCCAGCGTGGCAGGGCCGGATCCGGCACACGCAGCACCCGGCACCGCACCGAGGCACGGAGGGCATGAGCTGCCGAGCCTGGATGGGGATTCGGGGCTTCAGTTGGACCCCCGAGGGCCCCTGGATCCCTCAGTTGTCCCCTTTTCCTTCTCCTTCCCCCACCGTTAGCACCGGGGATGCTCCGTGTCACCCGCCCCACGATGGTTACTCACCCCAGCAGGTCGGGCTGGAGAGGCTGCGTCCCCTCCGGCTGCTCCTCGTGTCTGATCCAGCCAGGCTGGGGAAGTCTTTAAGTGCTGGGGGAGGCAGGGGCTGCCTGACCTCCCTCCCCACCATTCCAAGCCCCCCTTGTGGGACAGCAGCTGGAGTGGGAGAGCACCTGCGTGTGTATGTAATGGGGGATTCCCTGCTGGAGCCACGCTAAGACCCCCCGCGCCGGCTGCCGGGGCTGGGGGCATGTGGGGGTGGCCAGGACTGCTGACCCCCTGCGTGCCCCCAGCCACATCCAATACCATTTCCCAGGGCCCTGCTCCCACCCACGCCCGGATGAAAGCAGCGGAGGGTCAAGTTTCTGCACCCGGCAGCTGGGGGAAAAGGGGATGCCCCGAAGGGATCAAAGCAGGAATCTGCCTCCTCCCAGCTCTTGGTGCTTTTGTTGGCTTCAAAGCTGGATTTAGGGGGAGCAGAACCCCAGGCCTCCCAAGCTCTGTGAGCACCCAATTCGCTGCTTTGCGTGGCCCTGCAATTTGTGGGTGTTCCTCTGGGACACCGAAGGCGGTTCAGGTCCTGCTGGGGGTGCAGGGGTGTTGTACCCCCTGTGCTCATCCCAGTCTCCCCCCACAGCCATCCCAGCCCACGTGCCAGGAGATGTGCTGGGTTTAGATGCAATCTTGGGGTTCGTGCCTATCTGGGATGGCAGAGAGTCATCTTGTAGGAGCAAGATCCCCAAAAACATGTGGCTGCCCAGGCACACTGTCCGGGGGTTGTGGTGCTGCTGTCACACCCTGGGTGTGCAGCAAGTGGCCTGGCACATTGCTGGGTGGCTCCAGCCAGCTGGGGGGGTCCCACCCCCACACGGGCTCTCCCCGCTGTCCGTCTGTCTCCACACCAGCTGCCACCAGCTCCCACATGTCCCCAGGCCTTCTCTGCAGGCACTGCTCCTGGGGACTGGGGCCTCCAGCCACCACAGCTCAGCACGGGGGGGGGGGGAGGCAGAAATAAACAGGAAGGCAAAACATGAAAAACAAGAGGGTTTATTCCAAAATACGAAAGCCCCCAGGAGAGCAGAGCCAGCCCCTGCTCGGCGTGGCCAAACGCCGGGAAGAGCCAGACACCTTGTGCAAGTTTAGCAACGGAGCTGCCGGAGCGGCGGCGGTGCCACGGCAGTGTCACAGTGGTGCCATGGCCACCGGCCCACAGCACCAGCCCACAGCGTGGGGACAACCAGCACCAGGGTCCCTGGCAGGGGCAGGAGAGGACACACTGGGCCTCAGCAGCAAGTTACCTTGCAGGAAGCGGTGCCATCCCTGAAAATACCACGCAGGCATCGCTTCCCGCCGTCCGAGCCGTCCGTCCGTCCATCCTTCCCGCCTCCGGTCACTCGAACTTGGGCCGGGGGGCAGCCGGGTACCCGCGGATGTTGAGCAGCAGGAGGAGGCCGAGGCAGAGGGTGGCCGGGGCACACATGGCCAGCGGCTCCCGCAGCGCCAGCAGCGTGTAGATGGCACCTGGGCGAGGAGCAGAGCGTGGGAATGGGGGTCCCCGGCCGAGGATCCCCCGAGACCCCGTGCGGGGCGGTGGGCGCCCGCTGGCTCTCACCGATCATGACGACGCTGAGGACGAAGTTGCTGATCTCCTGCAGCAGTTGGGGCCCAAGTGCCAGCAGCAGCCCGGCCGTCGCCTCCACCCAGCCCACGGCCGCCAGGTACCCGCCCGGCTCCGGCACGAACCCCAACTCCTTCAGGGGAAACACCTTGGCAAAGCGCACGAACTCCGACGCCTGGGAAGGGCAGGAGGGGAGCGGGGCAGCCCTGAGCCTGGGGCTGGGGGGTACAGCCCCTCCAGGGGGTTTGCTTTGCTCTGCTCTGCCCTGCACCCCAAGGGGATCAACCCTGCACCCTAAATGAGTCAGCCCCGCACCACAAGCAACTCAACCCTGCACCCTGAGGGGATCAGTCCCAGGCTCCACGGGGCTCAGCCCTGCACCCCAACCTGCTCATTCTCGCCCAAGGCTCAGCTCCGCACCCCAATTCACTCATTCCCCCCAAGGGCTCGGTCCTGCACCCCAAAGGGCTCAACCCTCCACCCCGACCTGCTCATCCCCCCCAGGGCCGGCCCTGCGCCCCCCTCGCCCCCTCGCTCACCATGTGCCGGTGCAGGTCGGCCGAGAGCCGGTCCGAGAGCTTCAGGACGCCGGTCAGGAGGAAGAAGAGCCCGAGCAGGACGCGGAGGGCGGTGAAGGCCGCCGCCATGGCGGGACGGGCGGGCCCGGGGGCGGAGCGGGGCGGAGCGGACCGGCCCCGGGGAAGGACCGGCCCCGGGGATGGCCCAGACCCGGCCTCGGGGAAGGACCGGCCCTGGGGATGGACCAGCCCCGCACAGACACGGCCCCCCAGCCCCGGGGTGCTGCCGGGGAAGGGGATGCTCAGATCTGCAGCTTCACCCCCCCACCAGCAGCACCATCCTCCCACCAAAGCAGAGAGGGGAGGGACAAAAAAAATAAATGGGAAAGAGGAGAAAAAAACCCCACCCGAAATTCTACAGCTTGGTGGGCTCCCGTGAGCGGGTGTGACCCACGGCTGGGGATGCGAGGGGACAGGCAGGGCACGGACAGTGCTGCCCGTGGCTTCGGGGGTCACACAGGGCACGGACAGTGCTGCCCACGGCTCTGGGGGTCACACAGGGCAAGGACAGTGCTGCCCACAGCTCCGGGGCCAGGCAGGAGCCGGGTGAGGAGGCAGCAGCCCCAGCCAGGCCGGTTCGGGGTGACGGGGGTGGCCCCCGCGCTCCCCGGTCCTGCGTCACCGCCTGCGCCAGCACCGAGCTCCCGGGAAAGGCAGCCCGGCCTTGGCGAGGGGCCCGGGGGAGCCGCGGGCACTGACGTGTGTGCAAGTCAAGTGGAAATATTTTTTTAATGCCAGTAAGTCATGAGAGCGGGAAGCGTTTTCCAGGCCCCAGGAGGCAGCGGAGGGGGGGACGGGGAGCACGGCCGGGCTGGACCCGCAGCGACCCCGCTCAGCCAGCGCCGGGCAGGGGCTGCCACAGGCACCGCTTCGACAGCGAGCAGGGGCAAGCGACTATTTTTACTCCTGGCAGCACATGATTCCCCAGCTCGGCTGGGAGAGCCGCGGCCAAGGAGCTGCGTGCCATGGTTTGGAGCTCTCCCTGCTCCAGCTGGCACGTGTGGAATGACAGACAGCGACAGGCCAGAGCAGGCTCCAGCCCGTGGTGGCTTGGAAAGCTCCTTGGGAGAAAAGGAATTTCAAACAAAAAAAAAAAATCAAGACCAAACCCTGAACAAAGGATTGCAGCAGCTCAGCAGACCCACAGGGCTGGGGCATCAGGGCATCTGTCACTGCTCCCAGGATATTGTTCAAGTGTACCTGCTCTCAGCCTCTGATTTTTTATTAATTATAGGGGCTACTTAATTTGGTAGAAGCAGGCGATTGGCTTCACCAGCCAAAGGACAATAACCCAAGGGGTGGTAACATCCACCACCAGCACCAGGGAAAAGCCATCCCCTGGTCCCTACAGGACAGCCTGTGGTTTGCTCATAAAGGGAGCTGAGGTGAAGTTAGCACATGGAATGCTGGAACAGTCTCACACAGGAAGCAGCCTGTGCTGCAACAGTGGAAATGAGGACAAGTTACTGGAAAATAACAGAATTTGAAGGAAAAAAAGGCTGCACAAGCTGCAGTAGCTGTGGAAACAAAGACACCAAAGCCCAGCCCCTGCAGCGCAGCTACTGAGGAGCCACAAACCTCACCGAGGCCTTTTCAGGACCCAGACAATCCTAAAGTCACAGTGGAACACCTCAGTTTGCCCTTCCCCAGCACCTGTTTGCCTGAGAGAGAACAGCAGCAGCTCCTAAAGCACCCCCAGGCACCCAGACACCTCAAGTGCCTCATGCCGCTCTGCCGCATGAAATTCAATTTATTTTGCTCTAAACTGGCAAAGCAGGTCCCAGCCAAATGTTCCTGACTCCTCATGCCACTGCAGCACAGCTACCACTGGTGTATTTTAACACTTTAACAGATTTAAACAAAAGATGATATTTGATGAGTGACAGTATGAACCACATACGTGCACAGTACAGCTGTCAAAGCATCAGGTGAAGCAACACGAACCAGGGCAATTTGTGCTGCAAGAGCTAAACCCAGCACTTAACTCTTAACTTTGGCATCTCAGGCTTAATTACTGGAGTCATCACCAAGAAAGCTATTAAAAACCAACCAGGCACAGGTTAACATTTGGAATTCTATCATACAGAACTACACAAGACTCAAAATGGGGATAAGGAATGGGTGAAACATCCAGAAACTCGTGTTTCTCAGACCCAGCCATACCACACTGGACAGACTGCTTACTCACTCAATACACTGGAATAAAACAGAAGCCATTTATAAAAATAGTAAAATGTTTTATTTTTAAAATTTGTATCTTCCTGGCTCCTCTTCACTGCAATCAGACTTCTCCTTCTGCAAGTACAAAGCATATTATCAGAAAGACTGAAAACACCAGCAGAAATTACAGGTCATGACATGGAATCAGCATCACAACAGGCCACGTGCTTGCCAAATATTATCTAAAACTTTCTCACATCAGATCTGAGATTAAAGAAAGAGATTTCATATTTCTAAGATCTGAAACAGCTCTGTGTGTTTTCCTATGCCGGGGCCAAGAGCAGCAGTGACAAACCACACAGGATTCTACAGGAGTGCACCCACTGAATCCCACTGGCTTCACCTCTTACAGGTTCAGTTGTGCATCTAAGCTGTTCCTTACCTGTGACTTCTGAGTGAAGGCACTCAGCATGTTGCTCCTCACACAGAATTTTAAATATCTGAAGTTCCCCCTTGTAATTTAGTGGCAAATTAGAGGGAAAATGTCATAAATTCCAGCTCTGCAAGTCGGTTTATTTCCCTGAATTGCTATTTGCTTGTGCTCCTGTACATGCTGATTTATACTCCAGGTTATTTTTAAAGTTCAGTGTTTAAGTATTTCAGCCAAGTAGCATTTTACACAAGGTTTAGTTGGGTTAACATCTGAGAAGCAGCTGCTCTGTTCTCCTTTTTCCATGCTGACAATCACCCACCCCATTCTCTGTAGCCTGAGTGCAGGAATGGTCATTTCTTGTTTGAGCACCTGCAGCTCTCAAGAGGACAGAGTTTATTTGCTGCTGCAGGGCTGAAAGGCCTCAGACAATGGTGACATTCTGGCACTACAGAAGCAAGATTCCGAAACTTTATATAAAATTGAGATTAATTACGATTTTCAGGCAGGAACTACATAACCCACCTCAGGGTGATGAGCTATCAAACTCTCACAGTAAGGACACCAACTACTTACTTGTCCACCTGTTCCCTTGGTCCCTCCACACACACTGGGCACCGTGCTGGATGTGCTCATGCTCGGCTCCTTGACTGGAAAAACATTCCCAAGTTATTATACCCACAGAGATTTTGAAATCTTTTGTACAAACCCACGTCTAGAAAGGTATTTTTAACCGCTGCTGTCAAGATATGAAGCCCAGATGGAGTCAGGGTGCTCAAGCCCACGGCATGACAGCAGGCACTAAGTTCTACCCTACACATTTAATTTATTCACTCTTTCCAACTTCTCAGTATTCCCCAATTCAAAGGTACTCAGTGACTGAACATCAAGTGTCCAGAAACCTTTATTATTTTATCCATGCAGAACAAAAGTGCTACTTACTTCCCATGGATGAGCACTCCGGTGTCACTCAGCTTTCATCTTCACCTAAAGGATAACAACTGAAGTTATTAGAGTCATACACAGCAAAGCTGGACCATTTCAAAACTAACTTAAAAATAAGGGTTTAAGATACATGGACTGATTAGTTATGAGGGGTAATTTATCAGTTATTCCAAACCATTAAGTGGAAGAATAAGGGGCAGAAATAGGCTGGCCTTAACACTCATCAAGAGCTGAAGGAATATGCAGGTAGTTGCCTGAAGAACTGCACCTTGTGTGAGCACAAACCATAACCCCCCATCTGAGCACAGTGAGGTCTGATTGCAGCCAGAGGTATATTATCCCTTATGTGAAGGCATTAATTTTGTCAGCTACTTCAACTATTTGACCCTATTTGAGTCCTGCAGCAATGCCCTCTATTCCCCTTCATGAGGGAGTGCAGTGGCCCTGGACTGTAGGAGCCCTTGGGTTCAACAGTCCTACGAGTGCTTCAGAAGCCAAAGGCAGACACTAAGATTGGCACTGTCACTGCTTTTATCCTCAGCAAGGTTCTTCCCTTCTCGAGACCCCCCTTTACTACAGCTGAGGGCAGCCTGCAATGGTGAGAGCTGGGGATGTGGTTCCAAGGCTCTGTACAGCTCCAGCTGGGAAGCAGATCACACCTCGGGCACAGCGTGATCTGACCAGGCAGGGACAAGTTCAGGATTAGTGTCCAACCCACCACCTGGGTTTTCTCATGGCCCTCAGGAGCAGGAGAGTTATGCACATATTGTTTTCTCTGCCATAGCAACAAACCCCATGCATAAGGGATACTATATCTTTGTGCATCCTTTAAACACTGCAGATTCCCTACTGGCCACGCTCCTCCCAGCCCTCCCCAGTTAGCTCTTCAGTACTGGTGTTCAGAAGCAACATGTATAGAGATGGGGTATTCACAGACCACTGCGGGATTGCACAGCCAAGTCCTAACGTGTCAATCATTACCTAGCAGCAATGACACAGCTGGGAGAAGGCCAATCCTCCCGTTTTTTCCTTTGCCAGGCAGCAGCTATTTAACAGCCCCACTAGCTGGTATGGAGAGAGAAAAAAAATCTGAAGCTAATTAGCTGATTCCAAACTTGCTAGTAGTGGAAGAAGCCAAGTGATTCCCCAGAGCACTATACTTGGATGCATCCTTCCCAACATGCTCAGCCTCACTGAACATAATGGAACAGAACACTGGCCTTCCTGATCATGTCACTGCAGCTGGCAATGATTAACAGAGACATGCAACCCCATTACTGCTCGAGTCCTAAACTACTCACAGGCCTCAGTGTTTAGCTATGGGGAGAACTGCAAGCAAATCAACACTTTGTATGCTTAATGTTACAGTAAAGCCCCATCCACGCTGTGCTGTGCTCTCCTGCCAGCACCAGGTCTGCTCGGAGGGCCTAGCAGTACAATGTATTCTGACACCACACTTCTGAGCTTCAGGTAAGCTTTTGAGAAAAAGTGTTTTTCACACAGATAAAACCAAGATGAAACACAATGCAAGCACTTGAATGGCATTCCTTGTACCCACTTGTTACAGACTGA